AAGGGCCGGGTTGGGGGGGCGGGTGGTTTTTTGATTGTTTTTTTTTTTGTTTTGTTTTGGGGTTTTTTTGTTTGGTTTTTTTCCTTTCTTTTTAAAGCCCGGGCTCTGGCGCGGCCCCGGCGGTATCTGCCGCTTTCCCGGGTTCCCCCACGCTGGGCCTTCGCCAGCGCCTAGCGCCCACCCCCCAGCCACGGCGGGGCGGGAGCGCGGCCCTCGCCCTGGCGGATCCCGCCGAGGGGGCCGGGGGTGCCCCGCGGCCCGCCGGGCCGAGCAGGCGGCGCGGCGCGGGGTACCCGTCGCCCTTGCGGCAAAGCGGAGGCGAGCAGGGGCCTCCTGAGGTAATCCGGCGCTGGGATCCGAGGCGAAAGCCGTGGCTGGTGGGGGGAGTGCCCCCGGCGGAGCCGCTGCCCGCACGCCGTCGTTGGCCTGCTGGCTCTGACACTGCGCATTTTTGCTACGTTGTGAGGACGTTTCTGCTTGCCTAGAAGCCTGAGCCTGAAATACTGCTCGTTACGCTCGTTAACATTCACGGGAAGGGGGAAACCTACTGTATGTGGCTTTTCGTGCTGCTTTGCAGTGGATTTGGCGTTAGGGTTGTGGGCTGTTGAGTTTTTTTACCCCCCTAAGTCTCTCTTGATTGTAGAAGTGATGAAATAGCAAGGGTTTAAGGAACAAAGATCGAGAGAGTAAAACTTTAAATTGAGACTGATAGAAGCATAGGTCTTGAAAAATGAAGCCCTTGTCTACTGTCCTGCTCCTTGAGCTAGCCATTTAAGTGCTTTAAAATATCTAGAAGTCCTGAAATTCTACGAAGGATATGAGTTTATCATCTTGATCCCTTTTTATTTAAGGCATTTGCTTGAAGGTCTTCACAGAACGCAACAGAATTTATTTAAGTAGATAAAAACATATATGTGTGTATGTATTTATATATTTACATTATTTTAAGAGTTAGCTTGAAGCCAAATTTGCTCCACTTATAGGCTTTCATAACAGATGCGGTCAAGCTTAGGAAAGCTTCTGCTCTTATCTGAAAGGTGAAGGCAGTTTTCATCTTGATCATCTTGTTCTTGCAGCTATGTTTCAAACTTTTAAGATGTTATTGCTTCCTTTGAAAAATCCTAAACAGAAGTGTCTGAAGTGTTCTGATAACGCCCCAAACTTAAACTGGTGCTCTTTAGTATTTAAAATACAGAAGGGTTTATAGCAACAGTGCTTGTAGTGTAGCTTTAATGCGAAACTACATTTTAAAGCTCTGCTTCAAATAATTTAATAGCATCTGGTTTGTTTATTGAAATATAGCAGCATACATGTGGGATGTGCAATATAGGTGATGCTGTCTGTCTTAAAGACAAGTGGAAATTGACTGAACAAAAGTGCTGTTAATTGGTGTTTGAAATTATTTTTAAATGGTAGTGGTAACTCCCTGTTGTGCTGGGAAGCCTGTGCTTTCAAAGGAGGTCCTCATATATTGGCCTGTAAAAGTTAGAGAAGTGGCACATTTCTACCACTGTATTATACATCAGTTTGGGAAAATATTCTAATACAACTTCACAGGTCCTGTCCTGTGATTTAAAAAAAAAAAAAAATATATATATATATATGTCCTTTGAGACTGTTTCCACAAAAGCTTTGTGATGGCTGTTGTATTGTAGAATGCTACTTAGTGGCGTGTTCAAGCAGGGTGGTGATTAATGGTTTCAAATTTAAAGTATTCTCAGTCCATAATTTTTTTTAAGATTATCAGTGTGTTGGTTCTGTCATGCCCTTTCTTTATGACACTGTTTTGGCACATTTGGGTGCTTAAAACTCAAATATAACAAGGTGGGGATTATAGGTTAGCCAAAACCCTTTGTTAACAAAGTTATGAATCAGTAAGGCTTCAGATATTTTTCAAATAAAGATATTGGATGTTTCCTGGAGTAAAAAAGAAACAATTAAAGTGGTTTAAGAAGTTGTTCAGAAAATATGGCCTATAAGCTCTTCTTCAATTCCTAGACTAATTAAGTGTTTTCTCACTAAGTTTCTATTAAATACTGCTCTTTCAGTTATTTTTGCTCACTTCTGCTGCTGCTTCCTACTTGATCCTTTGGAATTCACAGTGCTTAGTAATGTTCAACTGACTGTTTTGATGATTATGTTTCTGAAGCTTGGGGGAAAAGAAAAAAATTTTGAAATGTGCTACCCTACTTCTTGGCTGTTCCTGAAAGAGCTCTTTGGCTTGGCACCTTTGACAACAATCTTTGTATGTCTGATTTTTTGTTTCTAGGGGCCATGTAGAGTGTTATACATTATTTTCACTTGCCCTGACCATCCTCCTCTTTACATTTCATCTTCTGTATGTTTCACAACAAAGGAGCTTGTGGCTGTGATAAGTATGCTTTACTCTCTAGTAAGAGAAATAAAGTGGAAAGAGGGCAGGCTTCTCTAGCAAAGTTACTACTTGATGCAAACAGCCTAAATATCTAAAAATGAAGTTTCTTAAGTTTGTGATTGAATCATAGAATGGTTTGGGTTGGAAAGTACCTTAAAGATCATCTAGTTGTAACCCCCTGCCATGGGCAGGGACACCTTCCACTAGATTGAGACACTGGCTGTTGGTCTTTGGAAGGAAATGGATCTTTTAGAACTGGAAGGGATTTACTGGGCTGTCAAGTCCTAACATACATGTGTTTGGCTAAGGTTTAGCTACTTTGAATGTTTAGAGATTCAGCTAAAGAGCAAGTAAAGTAAATACCTATGGAGCAAATAATCTCGCTTCTTCTAGAAATCATTTTCTTGTTAAATGTCTTTGCCATACTGATGATGTCAGTAGATTTAGTAACTTAGAGGTGACATTGCACTGACTTAAAATTTTGTTGTTGAGCAGAATACCTATTAGCACCAGGGTGTGAGAGCAGGATAGAAGGAGAACGCCAGATCCCTGCTCTAGCCAAGCAGTGGCAGAATACTGGGAAATTTGAGGCAGAAGTAATGACAAATTTTAGGAAAAACAACTGCGTACCTTCACAGCTGTTCAGAAACATAATCATTCTTCCTGCAGTTAAGGAGCATTTTGTCATTGGGGGTTTGTTTTTTTTTTATTGAGGCTGTGAATAAGCATGAACCTCTTGGCACAACTATCTGTGTGCGCATTTACAATTAAACAGGTTCTCATTGCTGAAAGCTCAGGCTGTGGCTAGTTAACATCATAAAGAAGTATAGGTCTAATATTAAAATGAGTAGCTTATCAAACTCATAGCTGTTGTATTTTAATGCTGAAATGCTTTTATTTATTGTGGAGGGGGAAAAAAGATGTGTTATGGGATTGTGTCTCAGTAGATTCATTAGGTTTGTCGGGCTTCTAAGTGCAAATATTGAAATCCAAAACTGTACAGAGGAAGCTTTTTTTAGTGGCTTTACAAAAAGTTTTAAGGATCTATTAATTTATGTGTCTGTCCCTGCATTTTTTTGTCAGATTTCCCCATAACTAAAAGATACTGCTTCAGTAAGAAAATACAGAAACTGTTTTTAGATTGTTCATGCTCTGTATATTGGGAGCTTATAGTCACGGCTGGTTGAAGTGATGCAGCAGTACATAACTCATTTAATAATCTTTGTATCCAGAAAGCTGTAAGTGCTGTGTGTGAAGATTCAACTTTCCTTAACAGTTTCTCTCTTCAGAAACTAGAACAACTCAATCAGTATCCAGATTTTAACAACTACCTGATTTTTGTTCTTACGAAGTTGAAATCTGAGGGTAAGTTCTTGAGATATTGACTGGTTTAGTCTACTTCTTTTTTCTGCCTTTTTTTTTTTTTTAAATTTGTTTTATTTAGCTTGAAAGAAATAGGAAGCTGATGCCTGTAGTCAGTTTGCTGGTTGGTTGAGCTCCATAGTCATGTAGAACTCATTTATCCTCTCAGGAGTCCTTGTGGAAAATTTATTGGTGCTTGTAGAATCTATGCTAAGGCTGAAACTATTCTAAATGTCCTATGAAATCTTCCTAGAAATGTTGGGGTATCCTACCTCTATCAGGATGAAGTGAAGTTGTGGAATAACTTTGAGTCATGACTATACGCATTATAAGATTGAGTTAATTGCTAAATTGAGTTATGGTAATGATCTCCCTAGTAGTGAGATTGTTAAATATTTTGAAGGTCACACACTAGAGTTGTCCGAAGATGATGTCTGTCAGAATATTCATTCTGAAGTCTTGTTCTAGCAAAATGCAGTTAGAAATCAACTGGCTACTTACTGTTATGTTATGGACATTAGTACAAACTGTATATGGCATACTGTGTAGCTTCTACCAGTTAGTAAATTCAGACAATTCCTTAGTAATGATCAGGGTGTGCGAAAGATTGTGTTTCCAGTGTACTACAGCTACTGATGTGTGAGGTCTTTTACAGTGAAAGAAATTTGTTTCAAGATCTGTTTTAGCACATCTCGGTTCTTTACATTTGTTTGTAATTGATGTGTTCGATTGTTTGGGTTGTTTTCTGTTGTTTTGGGTTTTTTTTTCCTTAGTGTCCTGCTACCAGTGCTTTTTCTGCCCTCAAGCATTTTACCTCTGGGTTTCTGGATGCTTGCTTTTTTCCCTTTGAATTAGATTTTACTTACATGTGGCTGTGTAACATTCAAAGAATCAGCAAGAATGTTTAACTAGTGTTTTGATTGTGCTGTCAGCTTACTTTGGGAGGAAGGAAACAGGAGGAATGAAGTATATTTTCATATTTGAAGGCTGGAGTATATCCCAATGGTTTTGTGTGTTCTATGTAGGGTGTCTCCCGATCATCTGTAAGGCCTTGGGGGAACACCTCCAGTTCAAAAGAGAGGGTGAGCTTTCAAGACCTGAATCAACCGGGATATTAAATTTTTGAGCAAAGTGCCAGTATAGATACACATGTGCTTTATACATTAACAGAAAAATGAAAAGCAGAGCGAGTCCAGCAGTGGGATCTGGAGCCTCTACGAAGGATGTGACGAGAAGGGTGTTCCATGTTTTGGTTTTTTTGCTCTAAAATGTGTTTTCTAACACTGCCTTACTTGCTAATTTTAATTTCCCCTTTTTCATTCTGTTCAGCACTTGAGCTTGAGGTTCTAGATACTGATGTGTGTTTAGCAATGTGTTAGAATCTCTTGTCCCAACATATCTCCTTAGATTATCCAGTAGTCTTTTTCTACCCTTCTTAATGTTTAGATACATCAATCTGTTTGGAATTGGATGAAGAGTAGGAGATGCTAACTATTGCAAAATGGTTGTATAAAGCTGTTTTATCTGAGGAAAAAAATAATAGCATCTGGCAGGTTGAGGAGGCAAGCAAGTTGGGGTGAAGTAGCAAGCTGACTTCTTAAATGAGGTGTTTGGGATCAGACTGCACTGATAGCTCTCACAGATACATTAGGTCTTTTGTGAGACTGCTCAGAAGGAGCTGTTGCTTCGGAGATGCTTTGTCCTGCATCAGTGACGTTTTTAGTCATAATCTTTCATCCAAAGCAACCGTTTTTAAACTTTGTATTTCTAGTTCAGGGAAACTGGGAGAATATTGAGGGTGCCATAACTAAGTCCAGTGTTGGTGCTTTTCATAGTATTTGCCAAGTTACAAATATCCTGTTACCTTGCTTGCGTAGGACTAATGAGGGACGATGGAAGACTGTTGGTTGTATTTGACTTGAATCCAACCAACAGCTGTCCATCGTCCCTCATTAGTCCTGTCCAAGCAAGGTAAAGAGACTATTAGATCTGCTATTCAGTAGCTACAACACTCTTGCCTACTCTTTTGGACCAGTAGTGGAAGATGTGATGGACTCAACAGGTAGATAATTATCTTCAGTACAACTGAGAAAGTATTCTTTCCTTTCCCCACCTGAAGAGGGTTCTTTTGGTGGTCTGTCCTACAGCCTTGCCAAGTTTGTTGGCTAGGGGAAAGAGCTTGTGTGCTTTACACCACAGACCAAAGCATAGGTAGTCATACTGTTGGAAGTTCATGCTTTTGTTACGTCCATACTGTCCCCAGCAGAAGGAGCCATGAAAATAAGCTTCCAACATCACTGACAGCACATTCAATAAAAATTAAGGTGTTTTCATAGTGCATTAGAAAAAGAGCTTGGTTTGGTGGCAGATGGGACTAGGCTTTGATTCAGTTTTTGCCACTTCTGAGAAAACTGTGCTTAAGGATACATTTAGGTGACAGCTCCTGAATGTGGGAATTCTGTAGTGGCTGATTGAAATGTGTGTTAAATAGCCTCATTTTACTGCAGTGGAGGTTGTACCAAATTATCTTTGGCCTGAGTCTTACACCTCTGCAGGCAAATAACTTTGCAACCAAACTTTTATTTGCAAGCAAGTAACTCTGCTTGCAAAGCTGGCTGTTCTCCTGAGGCCTGCCTCTAAGATACTTAAGTAAACATTATGTGTAGGGAATTTGGTTTGTTTTAGCACCAGAGCTATTACATTTCAGTTGCAGAAAGTATAACTTCTTTTTCCCTCCAGTGTTAGCTTCATCAGGTTTCTGTGTCTGAATGCTTGTGACTTGCTGGTTTTAGGTTTATTGTGGTACTCCTGCATGTATGTGGTGGGTTTTTTGGTTTTGTTTTTAAATTTTGTGGGCCTTGTTAAGCTGCCAAAGCTTGTTAAGCTTGGGTCATCCTGGGAACAGTTGTTGCCCTGCTACCATTTCATTAGTGAAAATATATGGCCTGGCTTGCAGCTATGGCATATATGTGCCCTAACTTTTAAGCACTTCCTTTCTTTTCGTTCTTTCTTTTAATAATGTGCATTTCCAAAGATAGCATCGTGAATCCGGACAAACGCCAATGTTACAAATATCACAGAATATAAAAAAAGTCAAGGAAACAGCATTCAGTCCCGGAAGTCAGACAGTAGGCAGGCTGATGGAATAAAATATGATCCTAAGCCATTAAAGATTAAGGTATAGGTCTCTAGAATGTACTTCCCAGGAGGTGTGGTGCTCAGAGATCTTCCTTAGCTGGGTGAGATGGAGTCAAGATTAACTGAAAAATATCTGAATGAAAGAAGCTTGATTTTAATAATTTATCTGTAAATGAAAATAATCCTCAGATGCTCTGTTAGTATAGCTCTTCCTTCTTGGTTTGGCAGGTATAAAACCTTGACCTCGCAGATAATGTAGTGGCACCGCCCTGCCTTTGTGTTGGTTTTTGGTCTTTTTTTTTTTTTTTTTTTTTTTTTTTTTTTCCTGGTGTCCGCTGAGCTCAGAATCCTGTAGGCTTCTGTATTGTGTTAATGAGTTGTTTCGTGGAGTCTGTGCGTGTTGCTGTTGCTTCTCAGGTCACTTTCTGTATTTTATGTGTAGTTGACTGAAACACTCCAGTGCTGCAAAGGAATATCAGCTTTGTCTGCGTTGTTGCATTTTTTGCTTACCTGCAGCTACCCTTCTTTGTTGTGAGCCATACATGTAAATCCTCCTTCACTTGTTTGCATCTTTTATTTTATAGTCCAAGTGTGTTCCCTTAAAGGAAAATATGAGAAAGTATTGTCCTAATTTCAGCCTCCTTGCGGTCTTGCCAAGGCCAGTTCTAGCCTCTAGTTAAGGTACATTGAGGCAGTTGTCCAAGACATCTGAAGTATGAGGCAGGCCAGAGAAAGGACCTTTAGGTGTCATAATACAATTCATACTGTAAGCAGAAGTGCTGAGTTTGTTTCAGACCTTGTTGACCATAATGATGAAATTCCCAAAGTTGTCTGTATCAAAATCTTGCTTTGTTTATACTTTCTGTAAATTAATGTTTATAAAATCCCTGTTTTCCCCCATCTAAAATAGACTGACAAAAATAGCATCCTTCTTAATTCATCTGTCTTGTCCTTTTGTAGGACAACTTTGTCAATTTGCTGGTGTTTCCTTATTATTGTTTTTAACCTGGAATTACACCATGCTTTAGCTTGCACAGCATCCTGAATTTTGTGAATGAGAGGTGGATCTCGCTTGTGCTAAATTATCAAAAGATGATGTCCATTGTCATTCACCAAGAATACTCTCTAATCCCCATAAATTCAATTTTTCAGTTAGGGAGCAATGGGTGTGATGCCTCTGTCATAATCCTGCCACAATATTTTGTTGATGCAAGGTTGTATCAGTACACAGTGAGATGACATGGCCTACTTGCATCAGTAAAGACTACTGTGTTGCCTTCTGGTAACACTTCTGTGTTCAACTCTAAGGAGAAACTAAATTGAGACTTTGTAATCTATGCATACATGCAGAAACATAGCAGGAATAGTATCCATTCTTTGGCTGATCCTCACACCTCTGAGGGAATGTCCTGGTTTCAGCTGGGATAGAGTTAACTGTCTTCCTAGTAGCTGATACGGTGCTATGTTTTGAGTTCAGTATGAGAAGAATGTTGATAACACACTGATGTTTTCAGTTGTTGCTAAGTAATGTTTAGTCTAAAGTCAAGGATTTTTCAGCTTCTGATGCCCAGCTAGTGAGAAAGCTGGAGGGGCACAAGAAGTTGGGAGGGGACACAGCCAGGGCAGCTGACCCAAACAGGTCAAAGGAATAATCCATACCAGGTGATGTCATGCCTAGTATATAAACTGGGGGGAGTTGGCCGGGGCAGGGCAGATCGCTGCTCGGGAACTAACTGGGCATCGGTTGGCAAGTGGTGAGCAATTACTTTGGGCATCACTTGTATATTTTAATCCTTTTAATTATTACTATTGTCATTTTATTAGTATTATCATTATTAGTTTCTTCTTTTCTGTTCTATTAAACT